CACCCTCCTATTAGAGCAAGCTCCATTAGGCACGGATACTGTGGACACACAAAAACCCAATGGAAAATGAAAATAGTCTGAGCACATTAACGGCAGTACGAGCGAGGTATGCAGCAGGGGAACAGTAGTGACCAAAAGTGCATGAAACCTCTATCTGTCCATAGAGCTTACATGCAGGGAACCAACAGGCCGTTCCTGGGAAAACAAACGAATGCAACATCAAGAGGAACGAAGGAAAACACCCGAACAGGCAAACAACATGAGAAAGACATGCGAAAGGAGTAGAGAGGGACCGCAGCGCATCGGAAGGGTAAGTAAAGTAACTCAGGAAGCGGAGAGTTGACCGGACGGACAGCGGAGGTTTGGAGCGCCAGTGACAACATGAGAGCCCAGAAGGACCGTGAACAAAACGAAGAGCGGGGAAACAGCAGGCCAGGCAATGAAGCCACAAGGACCAGGGAGGTAATGGCGACTGGAAATAGTGACATGCGGATCACTAAAAGCACGTACGGAACAGAGGAAGGTGAGTAGGGGGTTTAAGTAGGGTGACATGCCCCTCCCACAACTGCAGGCCAAGCCTTTGCATCTATGCACTATATTTAGTAGTGCAATATATTTAGTAATGCAATATATTTAGTAATGCAGTCTATATAGTTATGCAATATATTTAGTAATGCAATATATTAATAATGCAGTGTATTTAGATAGGCACATATGCAGTGTGTTTAGGTAGCCGCTTTGTTTTATGTAGGTGTGCCGGCACCTGGGTCTCTATGGGACTGTCCATTGAGAGTGTCTGCTTGATAATTAATGGAGCACTAGTTACATTCGGTCCCTCATTCGGTCCTTCTCTGATGATAGTCATGGTTCTGCGGCTCTGTGTGCTTCACCTTAAAGCTGGATGGCTTGCTCTGTGTGTGGTTGTTCTCACTGAGACCCTCTGTTGTTTCGGGTCTCTTGGTGAGTGAGGGGGTTCCCCGTGTTGGGGGCAGACCCACCTTTTGCGGGAAGGGTTCCAGATCATCTTCTGATGTCAGGATCATACTCTCTCCCTCTATTTCTGTTAGGAGGATACCCTCCACTCCCTAGCGGTATCCTATTCCTGAGTCTCAGCTTCCTGAGTGTGCTCTCAGCTTGTGGGCATAGGGCAGGAGCTGTTCATCGGTCACTGATTCAGGGATCCCTCGGAGAAGGAGGTTCTTCCGCCAGTGCCTTGCCTCCCACCCACATGGATCTTTTGCTTGAGGATGCTCCAAAGATTACCAATAGGATTGAGGTCAGGGGAGGATGGAGGCCACACCATGACTTTCTCTCCTTTTATCCCCATAGCAGCCATGGACGCAGAGGTATTCTTTGCAGCCTGAGATGGTGCATTGTCATGCATGCAGATGATTTTATTACGGAAAGCATAGTTCTTCCTTCTGTACCAGGGAAGAAAGTGGTCAGTCAAAAACTCCACATACTTTGCAGAGGTCATCTTTACACCTTCGGGGACCCTAAAGGGGCCGATCAGCTCTCTTCCCATGATTACGGCCCAAAACATGACTCCAACACCGCCTTTCTGACGTCGCAGCCTTGTTGGAAAAGGGTGGCCGTCCACCAACCATCCACTACTCCCTCCATCTGGACCATCTAGTCGTCATGTATTTTTCTGCCCAATGCAGCCGTTTCTGCTTGTGAGCATTGGTTAGTGGTGGCCGAATAGAAGGTTTATGCACAGCTGCAAGACTCTGGAGGACTCCAGAGGCACCAGCAGCTTCAAATATCTGTTTGCTGCTATGTAATGGGATTTTAGAAGCTGCTCTCTTGATCCGATGCATGGATCTGGCAGAAATCTTCCTAAATGTGCCTTTATCTGCACGAACCCGTCTGTGCTCTGAATCAGCCACAAATCTCTTAATAGTGCGATGATCACGCTTAAGTTTTCGTGAAATATCTAATGTTTTCATACCTCGTCCGAGGCATCCTTTTTCTTCCCCATATATCATGAAAATGGTGCTCTGCTTAATAATGTGGAACACCCTCCTTTAGTAGTTTTTCCTTAAATTGGGCTCACCTGGCAATCTAATTATCACAGGTGTGATAAAAGAGCCCTGAGACACAATGCCATCCATGAGGTAAACTGAAAAACAAAATATTTAATCTATGTGACACTTAAATAGAATTTGAATAATAATTTGGAACAGGATGTGTATATATATATGATCTAAGTATATATTATTGAATTAAACTGTTTTTAACTTTTATACAGGCATCAGGGGGACTACGTGTCATTCCATGCACTCCCCCTGTTGGCACTGCTATGGATGGCTATTGCGTCTATGTGATTGTGAGGTCCTCGCGATCACATGGCCCAGGAGGGCTGGATCTGCAGCAGGGAGACTCCCTGGGATGCCAGGCAAGTCCCCCCATTGCAATCGCCAGCAAGCTGGTAAGTCCCCTGGACGGCGGGGACGTGCTATGCTGCCCGCCGGCGTTTAGAGCCTGGTCCCCAAGGACGGCATAGCACGCCCGCCGTCTTTAAGAGGTTAATAAAAGGACGGGGTCTGGGTGCCTATAGTGTTCCTTTAACGGCAAAAAATAATAAAAGAGAGAAAAAATATATATATATAGAGTGTGTGTAGTTCTTGTAGCCCTAGAACTGCAGTAATAATAATATTCACAATTGTATGGATTCCACCCTATTTTACTCTAGCAGTTACCTGACTGCAATACTCACTAAAGAATAATTTGAATAATAGAACATTCTTCCATATTTACCTTAATTTTATTTTCCTGATTAATCAAGATAGTGGAAATAACTAACTGACGACAATCAAGTTATACATTTAACAGGGAGATTGATAATGCAAAGAGTTCAGACATCTGCTAAAGTGTACAAAACTAAGCTGAATTTACCTAATGAGTGTATTCCCAGTCTGGTGTTAAATGTCAAACCTTCAAAGTGCAAAAAAACATCAAAAGGTGTCAGCAGTAAGACAATTGTTTAATCCATGGATGGTACAGCCACCACTGTTTCTGTGTAGACAAAGAAGTATACTATACAGCCTGCTGGTCAACAATCCAATAGTATTCAGTCAGAGACTGTCCAAAATAGCCAGTACAATAATGAGAACAGGAGATCTAGATGCCCACACCTATAAAAGGAACAATCGTTTCTAACAAGTTCCTGGAACAAGGCAATCGTCTCCAAAAAATTCAGGTGATCACTTTAGAAGGTAGAAGCAAAGTAAAATCAGCAGTATTATATTCCAGGCATAGCTGATAGATAAATAGATCATAGAAGCACCCTACTTTTGGTAACTAAAACACCTATAATATAAATGGCTATACAAACAAGCATGAATTTTATGGCTCATTTGATAAGGTGAAAAAATAGCAAACACAGGATGAAGGATGAAAAAGGAATAGCAGATATAACTTAGAAAAGACTTAATCTTCAGATGTTTTGCCATTAGAAAACATGTCCTGGATAATTCTCACAACAATGCCAGCAGGCCGGGGTTGGGAGCACATTTGGGTTACAGCTGTACACAGAGTCTCCCTTCAAACTTCCTTAAGATTAAGACAAAAACAACCAAATTTCCACTGTATTGCAAAACTATTAATCTCAAAAAAAAATATAACAAGGGATGAGAAGATAAAATGCCAAAGAGCTGTTTCATACTTGTGCACGTCACCTCTTCTTAAAAGTGCAACAAGGCAAATTATAATGAAAGTTTAGCACTTAAACATGTATTTTCACTCTGCTAAAATCATGGAAGTAATAAATTAAATTACCACAGATTGAAAACAATTGCTTGTTCCTCTATATAGATGGCATTCCAATTTCTTACATGAAAAAGTAAGCATACACTGTAAGGTACATGTGCAATATGTCAAAAATCATCGTTAACACTGTCAACCTCTGGTGAAGTCTGGACCAGAAGGCCAAGTTGCTTGGTGTACTTAACCCCTTAAGGACCAAATTTTTGGAATAAAAGGGGATCATGACATGTCATGTGTCCTTAAGGGGTTAAGTTACATACACAAATCAACCCCGACATATCTTCAACCCGTTCTGTGAAAGCTCATATGGTCCCAATCCCGCCTTCCTTCTGCCAGCATTTGGTCACATATACTCCCTATCTGGGACAAAACCTAAGGTAAAGAAAAAATTTATCAAATAATACATGGAAAAAGCTTCATGTACCCTTTTATAGACACTGAAAACTTTTTTGTTCTTTGCTTTCATCATTAGATACTGGCCAAGAAGTGCCTCTGAGGGCTACATAGTGGGTACTATTAATTGGGCTTACAGGTTCCTAGCTTATCTCCTTTTTAACTCTTGGGGGCTGGTGCTCTGCAGCTCATGGGGATTCCAAGAGGCAGTCTTGGTGGTCACAGCTTCAATTTGACACAGTGCCTTCACAGACTTGGATGTATGTAGCCACAGGGCGACTAGCAAGGCAAGGGGTCGTGTTAGAACCCACTGAACCTGGAGGCTCAGTTATCCAGGACAACAGACACTCTACAGTTGTTGCTGACATTGAGAAATGGGACTCATTTTATAATTTTGAGCCTTTACCGACACAAAAATAAAACAAAACTATAGAATAATGAAATATACTCTGGTACTTGTATTTCATAGATATATTATAAAGTTTAACATTTTCAAAGTTTGAATCAACATGTTATGAATATATTGTATTGTCTTCTTTTCCATTCTCCAGACTGTAGTAGTAAGTATGACACTTAAAGTGCTCTTATGTCAAACAATAATACTACATATAAATGATTTGCAGTGCTCACCAGTAACCTAAGTTTGACCTATCAGGATGGAAATGCTTGTTATCAGGCAGGAAAAACGAAACTAAGCAGCCATAAGAGGACTGGTGGACTCCTTTAGACCCAGCAAACAGAGTTTTAACATTCTGACTGCCTGAATTGTTTACATATGCTAATGCAACCCATATACCATTGTCATCTTCACAAGTACAGAAGTACTGTACAGAGTTTAGGTCAGATCATTGATCAAAAGGGGTATATCAGGACCTTCACCTTTCAGTATATGTTGATTACTACGTCTTCAAAAAATAAGAGGCTGCCTGGGTCTTTAAAAAAAAAAAAGTGACTTTGATACTATGACATATGATTCTGGCCTGCTAAACAGGTTTCCTCCTAATTTCTGTGGAAAACAATAAATGACTATACGACAGGGAGAGGGCAGTACTATTTATACTAGTGATTTTATAGTTCTGTTTTTTGTCTTTTCTAGGTGAGGAACTAATCTGTGAAAGGATGAACCTAAGAATCATAACCATTTTAGCTGACTGAAAGTTTTTTAAAGATAAGGGTATAGGGACTTGTACCATAACCACTTTAACAATCTGAAATTATTAAAAATGCCTAGAGTTTCCTTTATGTGAGTTTTGTTCCTGGTGGGTACTGTGATACACTCACACAACCTGCATATTATTACATTTTCTCACTGTGGTGCTCTGAAATATAGAAGGTATTACTAGTGTGGGTCTCTGTAATAAAATCGTAAATATATAAACACTGCATAAAACTCTCAACGGTGCCATCCTGTGAATTTATTGGTGAGGTTCTACTGATGAGGTTCTAGCTGATTTGGATAAATTCTCTAACTCAGCTGTAGTTGCAGGTTTGCCATTTTAGTCTGTATTTTGTATTTCCGTTCACTACATTTGGGTGTTTAGTACATAATCTTCTAATATATGCAGAAGAATGTGGCACTCAGTTACAATACCTTCTCAGGTCGACACTTGATGGCAGCAGAGGGCAAGCCACAGTGACACACTGACTACAAGTTACCCCAAATCTCAGGGTTTTGGACAAGCCCTTATTTTTACATGGTTATACAATTACATGTGAATTGTCAGGAATTCAAACTTAAAATCGGACGAATGAATAAAGCCAGCATTTGTTTCAACACAGCAAATCCCAGACAGTTCATACATTGATAGTGTAATAATTTAGTAAATAAGATCTGTAGGATTCCTAAACGAATGGATTTCCATTTTTAATGCAGTATGTAGATAATGCATTTAACTCACGTTAGAAAGTCCTGCTTTTGCTGTAAATCATGTCTTTACAAAATATGCAGTGAGCTACCCATACCATTTCATGTTTCAGACAAGCAGTACATTTCCAATATTTTCTGAATGGCCCAGCTTATGATGACGCTTTGCAGCAAATATATTGATTGCATAGGAGAAATAGAATTGTTGGCTATGCTGCTAACAGCTTACTGACAGCTCTGTTCATAGTTATGTGAGGGGAGATGATTGTTTACAAACGTTGTGAAGGGACCTGTTAGAGAAGGGGGGGCGGAGGGATATAAAGGTCTTCTTGTGACTGAAGGTATGGGATTAAAGGGACACTCCAGGCACCCAGACCACTTCTGCCCATTGGAGTAGTCTGGGTGCCAACTCCCACTACCCTTAACCCTGCAACTGTAGCTGACGTGCTGACAGGGAGGAGCGTGGGCAGACCAAGAAGCAGCGCCAAGGGACATTGTCGCTGCCTCTAGTAAGTCACTAAAGGGGTTTTGACCCCTTCAGCAACCGGGATGGGAGGTGGGAGGGAGAGGGGACCTGCAGTGCCAGGAAAACGGATTGTTTTCCTGGCACTGCAGAGTCCCTTTAAGGCAATGAGTTATCAACATTACAACAGTTTTATGTTTTTTACAGGAAGAGATAACTTGTATAAGGAACATGGTTTTTTAAAACTACATTTTATACAGTAAATAGTCACGGTGGTAATGGTAATTACTAATTTAATACAACTTCTCCTCATTCATGTAATTGTCAAAAACAGCATGCCATAGTAAAAGAGACATCTTGTTACAGTTTTTATTTGTTTTGTTCTTACAAATAATCATTAAAAAATACATTCAGGTTGTATTTAGGAAACAACAGAAGCCAATTTGGAAAGATAGGCTCTCTGTTTAGAAACGTATTAATATAGCATTTTCGTAGCTTTTTTGCCATAAGTTTAAATTAGATAGTGTCAGGACTGCCAAAAGCAGGTTGAGGTTCTACTTCAATACTCTTTAAACTTTTCTTCTTTAAATCCACTGGCCTTTCTATATACCATTACAAGGTTCCCTGAGCCATGAGTCTTAATAACATCATCTACCTTTTGTGTATCCCAAACATCCCCTAAGATAAATCCTTCAATGAAGAACACGGACATTTGTGACATATTTTTTCAAGCTTTCTTCATAGAGATCTTTCCCCCTAATTTAAAGGATCTAGGTTGCTTCTTCATTGCTTTATACCAAACAGTTAGTCATGCCGGCAATCACCTAGTGGCATCATGGCACCTTGTAATTTCAACAAGGAATGTAAGAGGGACGAACTAGGCCTGTGGCTACCTCAAGCCAAATAGTGCAACTGAAGGTCAGGTGTGCAACTGTGTCCTGTAAATAAATCTTTCAGCAAGGCATTGTATTGGTCTGCTGTTTGCCTACAAAATCCAAGATGAACTCAACTTCATTGTGACCTAGATAAAGCTCAGGGAGCTCCTCAATCCGGTCCAAACCCAATTCCACCACCAATGATGTCAACACATCCTCGTCCACCAAATCTGTATCTATCACATTAAGGGTGGGCATATGCTGATGGTGGCCAGGTGCCATCCTATAGCTTGGGTGCCCATGTGTAAATCCAGTATTGTTTATCATTGGATGTCCCTGATATTGAGTGTTGAGCTTCTGGAGGTGCATGGTTGCCATGAGCTGTTGGGTTCCAATGTATGATTGTGCTTGCCCTGGGTACATCATTTGGGATGGCATTTGCTGGTGCATCCCCATGCGTGTTCTTAAGTTCCCATCCGAATGGATAGCTCCATAATGCATCATCTGGTTGGAGGACATAGTTCTTTGTTGATGAGCAGGTGGTGCTTGCATTGGATTGATGCCCATTATATAATTTGGATGTCCACCGTGCATTACTGGCATCATCATAGGGTCAGACATCACCTATGAAAGAATGACGTGGGTTAAATATTAATGTTAAGGAAACAGTTGGCTGAACAGTTAACAAATTCCAAGAATGATACTCAGATAACAACCATCAAATTTAGTCAGGCTCTGTTAGGGACAGATAAAAAACAGCAGCATTCACACAGTCTATATAACCGAGTATGAAAAAAGTTGGTCACACAGTTGGGGACTTTTTTTAACCTTTTAAATTCGTTGTGGACATTATGGAATATTTACATATAAGCGCACACTGATAATTTGTCTTTTTTTGCTAATATAGTGACACAGTTTAATCCCAGGCCACACCAACAGGCCAGGATTTTCGGCTCTCCTTAACCTCCAAAAGCAATTTTAGAAAGGTTATTCACTGTTACCAAAGGCAATATTAACAGGGGTAGTCACTAAAGTGAGACATTTTATGAATTCAACGTAAATTATATCTTTAAGGTTAAAACTGATGAACTGGAAATATTATCCTAGTCAGCTATATTTCTACTTTAGCCTTAAATTTGAAATTCACTTTAAATGCCAGACAATGCTCACTATAGTTAATAAACCTGCAAATGTTTTATGATTATTTAGGCTTATGCAAAATGTCTCAAACAGTTACCTTAGATGTAACCAACTGACTGAGAATGTTTGCATATATTTATATGCTACAATAACAGTGAATAAGAAACATTTTTTTTCTACAATATATAATTTGATGGGATTGATTATATTCAAAATGCAATTCATTATATATAGTTAATAAAGTGCTACTAATTTTTTATTTTTTTATTATTAGGGTTATTCACGAAAATGAGAAATGTCGGATATTCAAAGAGAATTTTAAAAAATGGCCAAAATAGCTGATTTAGAAAAATTGTTCGGCGGTTTTGTT